TCCCTTTGCAGGTTTTGCAAAATTCTTTTCCCCAACCCTCTAGTGTCTGTTTTGGTGATTATTTGCTCCTTTCTTTCTCAGGAGGTGTGCAATGTTGTTTGCCTTGTAACTGTTGTTTCAAGTGTTTTCCCAGACATTTCTCCTTCACCTCTCTTGAATGCAAACATTCTATTACTTTCTATTCCGTTATCGTATTTGGAGAGTTTTGGTATTTAACATTAACCCCTTTTTGTGGGAGTTAAAATACTTTCGGGTTGTGGGGGGTATAAACCTTATTTCCCGCCCCCCAAGCGCATATACTCACACATACAGCCATACCACTCCCCATCAGCATACCACCCCACATACGCAATCCACCCCTCATACGCAAGCTGAGTGTGCCCCTTTTGTCACGCTATAAAAAACCGTGTGTTGTGTTGCAGCGCCCTTCCCGCATGTGTTGAGGGCACCCACGTGTCGCCTGGTGGGTTTGCCACCCGGGGGCAGATTTAAATCTCCAAAAAGCCCCCAGGGTCCTCAATGGATTGGGGTCGCCACAAAAGGCATATCTTTGATGCTGGGGTTTTATTGATTCTTCTGTATATCTTGCCAGGTGATTTCTTCTTTCATCACCCCCTTCTTTTTCTGTTTCTTCTTCTTCATTGTCTTCCATTTTTTCTTTTCTTTCGATTCTTTTTCTTATTCATCTTCTTTTCCCTCCATTTTTCTTTTTCTTTTTCATTCTTTCCTCTTTTCCCTTATCCTAATCGCATTGATTTCCCTGTCATGGAACGTCCCCCCCGGGGTTTTTCACCAGCGACCCTTCCCTCCTGTCGGAACTTGGCAAACTTAGTCACCCTAAATTTATAATATCCTGTGAAAAAACAGAAAGGGTTTTGCTCCAGGAAAGGGCAGGGGTGTTTTTGAAAGAGAGAGGAAGAGAGAGAGAGAGGTGAAAAGGAAAAAACAAAGAATTTTTAAATCAATACGGACGAAATTTTTAAAAAAAAAACACAACGCCCGGGCTTTTGGGGTTGGTTCTGCAAAAGTTCTGTAAAGGATACAAATAACCTTGCAACATCATTCAGTTGACATTCTTTTTTCAGCAGACACCACAATTAAAAAATGAACCTGATGCTCTCTGCACGAAAGAAGACTGGCAGAAGGGTGGGGCAAAGTGGTGTAAAACGGGGGAAGGGTGCAGTTACTATATCGACACAGTACATTCAAGGCACCTTTCTGGGTAGGCTTTCCCCTTTTGGTTTCGGGGGTTTTCTGTGGGGGGGGGGGGGGGAAAAGGTTAGACCTGCTGGCTGCTAAACAAGCATGTGGTAACAGGCCACTGATTATCAGTTTGTTGTAATCAGATCTGTTAGGTTGGAAAGGCATCAGTATGGTGTTTTCAGCCACAACACAGAATACAAACGGCCCTTTTAAAGATAAATGCAGAAGAGAAAGAAGTCATGACACGTTTATTTATTGATCTTTTTTCTCATGACCAGACTTGTAACTCACCACAGAGCAAAAACCCAAAAATGTTATGTTTACAATAATGCATGTTATGTCTACATAAAAATATACAGAAATATAATGAAATAATGCACACACACACACATTATATATGTGAACAGTCAGAAGCAACAGTTAGGTGTCAAGCAGACTAGTAGTTTAACTTTTGGCCATTTGTGTGTGTGTGTGTCAGGTGGCAGAGGCTTGATGGGAAGTGTCAAGTGGCAGAGGCTTGATGGGAAGTGTCAGGTGGCAGAGGCTTGATGGGAAGTGTCAGGTGGCAGAGGCTTGATGGGAAGTGTCAGGTGGCAGAGGCTTGATGGGAAGTGTCAGGTGGCAGAGGCTTGATGGGAAGTGTCAGGTGGCAGAGGCTTGATGGGAAGTGTCAGGTGGCAGAGGCTTGATGGGAAGTGTCAGGTGGCAGAGGCTTGATGGGAAGTGTCAAGTGGCAGAGGCTTGATGGGAAGTGTCAGGTGGCAGAGGCTTGATGGGAAGTGTCAAGTGGCAGAGGCTTGATGGGAAGTGTCAGGTTGCGGACGCTTGATAGGAAGTGTCAAGTGGCAGAGGCTTGATGGAAAGTGTTAGGTTGCAGAGGCTTGATGGAAAGTGTCAGGTGGCAGAGGCTTGATGGGAAGTGTCAGGTGGACACTAGCTCACAGTATTATGAGAATGAGGACTGGCTGACCCAGTGGTGCAGAATGCTGGCTCAAATTCAAAAGACCCAGGTTCTAATCCTCAGCTTCCTCCATTTTATTTGCTCATGAGTCCCAGCCATCAAGTTTAGCCCCCCCCCCCCCTCTTCCTCCGCCCCCCTTGGCGGTGGCGGTGGCGGTGGCGGTATAGTCGCTGGACAGAGGTCTGCAATTTATATATGACTGAGGCCCTGTCAGGGTATTTAACCTTGTCTCCCAAAATTGAAAATTGTGACATAAAAATGACATACACCCCCGCCCCCCCCCCCCCCCTGATGTAGACCCGTTCTCGGAAGCATGAATAAAGGGTCAAACGCTGCGTGCTGGGGAGACCAGCGTAAAAATAACCCAATGTATGAGTGTCTCAGGTGACTAAATACATGTGTCACTTTAAGCCCCTTAGAGTTAAGTATCTGGAGTTGTTGACTAAACACTGAAACGTGAAACATGACATCAGTAATGTTTATTACTTGTAGCATGTGGTGAGGATTTTATTTGCACTAGTTTATAATTGTGTGAACAGACAGTACATGTTCTTTTTAGTTGCACTTAACCCCCCCTCTTTTGGATCTGCACACCTGGGCATTCCAGAGTAAAAGGTAATGAACTAGCGAACTAACGGACAAGTGCTGTATCAATGCATGCAGGAAGAAGCATGGACAGAGCTGATATCTGTGCTACACGGACCAGGTGAAGGCATAAACATAAAGTTCTTTGCGTCCTAAACTTTTAGTCCTGTAACACAGAATCATCTGATGGTCTGGACACTGCCTTTAGCTAATGGACTACATAGAATACGGCTCATCCAGTGTTACCTGACTGTCAGCACCATTGATCTCATCAACTTGATGAATATTGTGTGGAGTAACTGTGCTAGATGGATGGCCAGTCTACTTTGTGTCAGCCATTGACGATTGACCTACTTCAGCTTTGTCACAACGATGTACCCAGCCTCGGACTGTTGAATCTCCATAAACATTTCTTTAAACATTCTTGGATGTGAATTGAGGTCTCGCCTTCAGCATTCAGGCACTCTATGACATTACATTGTTTTAACCCGTCTCTGGAAGCCATTGTTAAACCGTTACCCTGGTGTCAGCTGTTACTGAAACGGGCTGATAGTGCTAGACAATGTAGAAGACTGTTTGAGCAATCCTGCTAAATGAACAAATTGCACACAATAGATAGTTAGCATAGATAACAAACATTGGAGGTATTACATTTGGACCGTCCCTTGTAGATCCCAAGATAATCAATGTCTGGTGGCTGTTTGATTGTTTACAGTGTTTAATGTGGGAGAGTACCGGCGGGCCAAGACCACACAGCATCACAGTCATGACTTCTTCCGGGTAGATAACAAGGAGGCCAAGGAGATACGACAGTGAGAGTCTTCTCTTGTAGTATACTTTATCATCATCACCATGTTTATCAACATTATTGTTATATCATCATCACCATCATCATTAACATCATCATTGTCCTATTTTAATTTATCAAGTGGAATCCAGCGATGATAGTTGTGTTATTTAAAAATAATATAGAACATGACAGGTACTGGACGGAAGCAGTGTTATCAGTGCCATATGTAGCACTTACTGCGAAGTGGAATATGGTAAAGGGCATGACTCCCTGGCCAGGCTGATATAAATGACTCTGTATCCCTGGCCAGGCTGATGGACATGACTCTGTATCCCTGGCCAGGCTGATAGACATGACTCTGTTTCTCTGGCCAGGCTGATGGACATGACTATGTATCCCTGGCCAGGCTGATGGACATGACTATGTATCCCTGGCCAGGCTGATGGACATGACTCTGTTTCCCTGGCCAGGCTGATGGACATGACTATGTATCCCTGGCCAGGCTGATAGACATGACTCTGTTTCCCTGGCCAGGCTGATGGACATGACTATGTATCCCTGGCCAGGCTGATGGACATGACTATGTATCCCTGGCCAGGCTGATGGACATGACTCTGTTTCCCTGGCCAGGCTGATGGACATGACTCCGTATCCCTGGCCAGGCTGATATAAATGACTCTGTATCCCTGGCCAGGCTGATATAAATGACTCTGTATCCCTGGCCAGGCTGATGGACATGACTCTGTATCCCTGGCCAGGCTGATGGACATGACTCTGTATCCCTGGCCAGGCTGATGGACATGACTCCGTATCCCTGGCCAGGCTGATATAAATGACTCTGTATCCCTGGCCAGGCTGATGGACATGACTCTGTATCCCTGGCCAGGCTGATGGACATGACTCTGTATCCCTGGCCAGGCTGATGGACATGACTCTGTATCCCTGGCCAGGCTGATGGACATGACTCTGTATCCCTGGCCAGGCTGATGGACATGACTCTGTATCCCTGGCCAGGCTGATGGACATGACTCTGTATCCCTGGCCAGGCTGATGGACATGACTGTATCCCTGGCCAGGCTGATGGACATGACTCTGTTTCCCTGGCCAGGCTGATGGACATGACTGTATCCCTGGCCAGGCTGATGGACATGACTGTATCCCTGGCCAGGCTGATGGACATGACTGTATCCCTGGCCAGGCTGATGGACATGACTGTATCCCTGGCCAGGCTGATGGACATGACTGTATCCCTGGCCAGGCTGATGGACATGACTGTATCCCTGGCCAGGCTGATGGACATGACTGTATCCCTGGCCAGGCTGATGGACATGACTCTGTTTCCCTGGCCAGGCTGATGGACATGACTGTATCCCTGGCCAGGCTGATGGACATGACTGTATCCCTGGCCAGGCTAATGGACATGACTCTGTATCCCTGGCCAGGCTGATGGACATGACTGTATCCCTGGCCAGGCTGATGGACATGACTGTATCCCTGGCCAGGCTGATGGACATGACTCTGATTCCCTGGCCAGGCTGATGGACATGACTGTATCCCTGGCCAGGCTGATGGACATGACTGTATCCCTGGCCAGGCTGATGGACATGACTCTGTATCCCTGGCCAGGCTGATGGACATGGGGGCGCATCAAGGGTACAAGGCATTTCATTAGTTGACATGGAACATGTGTGATCAGTCGTTTTGTGCTGTCAGGAGGTCAAATCATGTCTGGATCTGAACTGAGTGCTGTGGTAATACTCCTAACTTTCTGCATACTTAGTCAGATTTGGATTGTAGCTCCACTTGATGGGGTGCCAGTTCTGGGACCAGTATTACAACACAACAGAGCACAGATACACCTGGAGAGGGAAATATTTCACCACTTTCACTTGTCATTGTACTATACAGACTACTTTCTGTAAGGCAGCAACTCTTGCCATCTGACAATATAACTGTGATATTTGTGCCTTTAACAGCTCAAGTTTTCTAGCCCTATTTATCTGTTTTACAAACACACAATTTACTGTGGCTTCAATCACCCACTTCATTTATGTTCTCACTGGGGCTAGACAAAGAATGGTTGAGAAATTGATTAGCAGAGAAAATGTCATCATAACTGAGACAGTCAATATGTTTTTACAGCCGTGTGGCAATGTTGGCCATGGAGGATGCAGCAAAGTATCTGGAAGAGGGAGGAGAGGTTGCTGTAAGTGTGTTGTGTGTGCTGTTGTTACATCTTGTTTGTGTGTTTGCTGTCACCCAGTCAACATTCACAGTGTACTTTTGATTACTATAGGATATCTATTGTTTTAAGTAGTCGTCCTATTGCAAGCAGTCGTCTTATTACAGGCAGTTATTTATAGAATAGCTACTAATACTGTATGTCTCAAAGCCCAAGACCACGGCCTCTCGTTGTAAGAGGTGGTGAATTGGTCAAAGTCAGAGGATGCTAGATATGGGCTGGGAATGGTTGGTATTGTGTTGGGTCAGGACAAGGCTATAGTAGCTCTAAAGGCCAACCTAGGTCACCCTTACACCTCCTAGCCGACAGGGATGTTGTGAATTGGGTGTTTGCACTGCTGTACTTGTCCCTGGTGTATATCTCTGACTGGACTTGATGACCGACTCTGATCAACAGACACATCTGTGACATCAACCTCCCAGTATTTATGACATTTTGCAGCTCAACAACACCATGTGACAGATTGAACTATGATCATTTAATTGACAACAGCTGAAACATAAAATAGAACTGATTTGTGCATTCAGTTGGCTTCCTTACTTGAGAGCTTGTTGTGCTGCATTTTTGTACACCCCTTAGCAGTAAAAAAAAAAACAGTTGACACCCAGTCTTGACTTTGGTAGTCAACATGTCAGCTGTCATTGACTTGAGAAACTACCAATTCTATGTTGCTTGCTTCTTCTTCTTCTCTTCTTTTTTCTTCTTCAGCATTCCGAGCCCTTGAGACTCATTGCTGCAGATATTCCCTGCCTCCATTCATCTCTGTGGTGGGCCCCAGTGTGAGGCTTTGACATCTGTTTAGTGATGGAGGTGTCGGCCTTACACTTCAAACTCCTACCTGGAGTACCAGGGTGTCTTTGTTTGTCTGTTCTCTACCCTTTGACCTTTCTGGCTTGGGATGTCTTGCTAGGGGCTGCACTACTGCTGGTATAGCTCTCAGGGCCATTCTATGATACCTGCCAGGTGTTATTTATTGTGCAGTTTATAGCACATACAAATAAAACAAATACAGCACTAACTACAGCATACTAGTTGGATATTGATTGTCTGTTACAGTAGAACTTGGGCCTGACAGAGTAAAGGCAGTCTGTCCCTCATGCATGCAGGCAGTTACTTCATTTAACACACTCACTGTTGTCCTAGACCCGTCCCAAGCAGAATTGATAGCTGGGCACCTACAGTTGCTGGGCACCTGCACTGGACTCTGAGGTACAGTGGAATAGTCTGTCTAAGACCCTAGGCACTGGACTGTCTGCACAGATGCTTACTCACATTATCTTACACAATAATGCATTTATCTGTTATGATAGTTGGTGTACAACTGTGCTAACCTATCCTCTAAGTGCTTTGTGACAGTCATAGAGCAGAAGTCACTGCCAGAGCCCATATTCTTCATCCTTGGTGAGAACTTACTGAAACAAGTCTTGTGTGAACAGATGCTTGTGATACTGTCTGACAGGTGCTGGATGCGACCAACACAACCAGACATCGGCGGGAGACCCTTGTTGATATGTTTACAGTGCAGAGAAACTTCAAACTCTTCTTTGTGGAGTCTATATGTGAGGAGCCAGATATCATTGAAGCCAACATTTTAGTGAGTTCTCGTCTCATAGCTGTGGTTGTTTTGTGCTGATTGTGTACAAGTACAGTGGTTTGGCTACAGGACTTCCACACTAGGCATCTGGGTTTCAGTCCCTGGTAAGGCAAACAGTTTCTATCTCAGGACAGCAAAGCACAGATTCCTCAGCTTGAGCTTTTCATGACACCTGCCCTGTCCTGATGAATGGCATTTCTTTCCTTCATTTTCTCCTGCCCTTCATCTCCCAGTGAAGCATGGGCCATCATCTCACTTGTGCCAAGTCATCCACTCCTGTGCTGTGACCATGACCTCCACTTATGTTATTTACCCTAACATGCATCTCTCTCATATACAGCAGCAGTGGTACAGTACAGAGTTATGTCATTACAGTGTTATATGATTATTATTGCTGTTATTTCTGATAGTGACGTTGTTTTGAACTGACTCTCGGTGGGGGTTCCAGTTAGGCGTCCATGTGACTTGTTTTATAAGGGTAAACATTAAGATAGTGTTTCACTTTACATTGGTTGCATAGCTACTTCACTTAGTTTTGAAGACAATAATCAGGAATCATGATCACGAGCTTTAACATTCTGTTGTCCGGTCCACCCAGATTAAAAAAAAAAATTCATTTTTTACATTTTAGAGATTATTTTGCAAAAAAAAAAATGTTTTGTTTTGTTTCATTTATTTTATGTAAAGAGAAATGATCACCAAATACAAACAGAGCAATGAAATAACTGCCTTCCTTCCCTTTGACCAAGAAAACAGGGTTTTTTACAGTCCCAAGTGATTTCTCACAATTTTAAATTAAAAAAAATGTTTTTGTTTTGTTTTTATAGCTTGAATTATACCCACTATGTTTAAACATCATGCAGTTGCTACCCATACTAAAGCTGTTATATAGCCACTGCCCAAAATTTTAGTGTCATAAAAGCCAGAAAACTGGCTCTCAGGGGGCAAAAGGACTAATGTAAACAATCTTTGCCTTCCTCCCCCCCCCCCCTTCCCCGTCTACCAGGTCAGTGTAAGAGTTAAGTATGGTGATGTTATTTTACAGGAAGTCAAGGTTTGCAGTCCAGACTATGAGGGCATGGATAAAAATACAGCTCTGGACGACTTCCTCAAGAGGATAGAGCACTATAAACGGGAGTACGAGCCCTTGGATTGCGAGTATGACAAAGACATCTCATTTATACAAATCTTCAACCAGGGCGAGAGGTTCATTGTCAACAAACTGGCAGGTACTATCTCTTTTGTTGCTCTTGTCAGAATTTCTCTTCTGCTGTCTGTCATGATCTGTACTTTTCCTGTTGTAGCCATCTTGTCTTTTTTTAAATTGTTTGTTTGTTTGTTGTTGTTGTTGGCACAGTTCTGTCCTTTCAGATGATAATGTTAAATTGTCCTGTATGGAGACATGGGGACCACACACAGCCCATGGTGATGGCCAGTGTGACCAACAAGAGCTGTTGGAGTTCAGAAACATCTTCTACAATTAAAACATGCGATTTCAGAACCACCATTGCCATTGTATCTTTTCAACCGAATTCTCAACTCTTAGCCTATCTGGAATCATCTTCTCCTTTATCCCTTTTCCCTTCCTGATTTTTTTTTTCCATCAATGCAGTACAGTCCATGGCATCCTGTTCCCATGAATGCACATCAGTACATGTATTGTTTATGTCCCATTTGCACTCAGATTTATTTTTGTACAGACCAACTTGGACATTTTCTACCCATCTGTAATTCCCCAGAAAATGTCCTTAGGGACTCTGCCAGGCTTCATCCTCCCACTGTGGCCAAGTCACCTAAGCCTTCAGAGAGACTGGGACTTGAGAAAACTGTTATGATGTCTGCTCTTTCTAATACCTCCTTGTTTGTGATCTTGTCTTGTCACTTATTGTCAAGTATTCTCTGTAGACAAGCAGTTTAGTTGTCTCTGTAGGCACAAATAAGTTGACAAAGTTTCACAGCCATTTGAATGCTGAGAACGCCAGCCTGATAAATCAGAGTTTTTAATTTAACCGTGAGCTTTCTGTTTTGTCTCTGCGACTTATTGTTGCTGTTTTACCTGTCCTGATGTTGAGTTTCTGTGGATCCCAGATATGTAAAATGGTCAACTGTCTCCAGCTTCATATCAGTCAACAAACTTCTTTACTTGAAACTTCTCTCCTAGTCTGCTGTTATTTACTAGTTCTACTGTTTATTAGTTCTACTGTTTATTAGTTCTACTATTTTTTAGTTCTGCTGTTTATTAGTTCTACAGTTGATTAGTTCTACTGTTTCTGGTTCTGTTTCTGCCTCAACCAACACACACCTAGCTCCTCTTTCTTGTTGACTTTTCACAAATGCTTGACTCCGCAGTTAATGATTTCCTTAGATGACTTGTCAGTCTCACACCAACATCTCCTGACTGCCACCACTGACCACATGCATGATTGGTTGCATTGCTACTGTACCCTGCTTTCCTGATGGGCCATAATTGGTCAGTTAAAAAAATATATCTGGCTGGCATCATTCACCCAGTATGATCAAAACATGATCAGAAACATGGGAAATGTATCTTTTATTTCAAAATAATGTAGGTATTATATTATATAGCATGATTCTACTGCACCAGAATAGCGTATCTCCTGTAAGATTCTTTATTGACACAGTCACTGAAAACAGTGCAGCATTTAACTTATCCCTTTCAGTGCCTGCCTTATTATTATTATTTTGTGGCGGGGGGTATAAATGGTTCAGGTATCCAGGTTAAATGTGATTGGTGAACTCTGATTGGCTCTAATATCAGTCTGTAAAGGGGAACTGATTGGTGTGCGTTGATTGGCTCTAATATCAGTCTGTAAAGGGCAACTGATTTGTGTGCGTTGATTGGCTCTAATATCAGTCTGTAAAGGGCAACTGATTGGTGTGCTTTGATTGGCTCTAATATCAGTCTGTGAAGAGCAACTGATTGGTGTGCGTTGATTGGCTCTAATATCAGTCTGTGAAGGGCAACTGATTGGTGTTCTTTGATTTGATCTAATATCAGTCTGTGAAGAGCAACTGATCGGTGTGTTTTGATTGGCTCTAATATCAGTCTGTGAAGGGCAACTGATTGGTGTTCTTTGATTGGCTCTAATATCAGTCTGTGAAGAGCAACTGATTGGTGTGCGTTGATTGGCTCTAATATCAGTCTGTGAAGGGCAACTGATTGGTGTTCTTTGATTGGCTCTAATATCAGTCTGTGAAGAGCAACTGATTGGTGTGCGTTGATTGTCTCTAATATCAGTCTGTGAAGGGCAACTGATTGGTGTTCTTTGATTGGCTCTAATATCAGTCTGTGAAGAGCAACTGATTGGTGTGCGTTGATTGGCTCTAATATCAGTCTGTAAAGAGCAACTGATTGGTGTGCGTTGATTGTCTCTAATATCAGTCTGTGAAGGGCAACTGATTGGTGTTCTTTGATTGGCTCTAATATCAGTCTGTGAAGAGCAACTGATTGGTGTGCGTTGATTGGCTCTAATATCAGTCTGTGAAGGGCAACTGATTGGTGTTCTTTGATTGGCTCTAATATCAGTCTGTGAAGAGCAACTGATTGGTGTGCGTTGATTGGCTCTAATATCAGTCTGTAAAGGGCAACTGATTGGTGTTCTTTGATTGGCTCTAATATCAGTCTGTGAAGAGCAACTGATTGGTGTGGGTTGATTGGCTCTAATATCAGTCCGTGAAGAGCAACTGATTGGTGTTCTTTGATTTGATCTAATATCAGTCTGTGAAGAGCAACTGATTGGTGTGCGTTGATTGTCTCTAATATCAGTCTGTAAAGGGCAACTGATTGGTGTTCTTTGATTGGCTCTAATATCAGTCTGTGAAGAGCAACTGATTGGTGTGCTTTGATTGTCTCTAATATCAGTCCGTGAAGAGCAACTGATTGGTGTGCGTTGATTGGCTCTAATATCAGTCCGTGAAGAGCAACTGATTGGTGTGCTTTGATTGTCTCTAATATCAGTCCGTGAAGAGCAACTGATTGGTGTGCGTTGATTGGCTCTAATATCAGTCCGTGAAGAGCAACTGATTGGTGTGCTTTGATTGGCTCTAATATCAGTCTGTGAAGAGCAACTGATTGGTGTGCTTTGATTGGCTCTAATATCAGTCCGTGAAGAGCAACTGATTGGTGTGCTTTGATTGGCTCTAATATCAGTCTGTGAAGAGCAACTGATTGGTGTGCTTTGATTGGCTCTAATATCAGTCCGTGAAGAGCAACTGATTGGTGTGCTTTGATTGGCTCTAATATCAGTCTGTGAAGAGCAACTTATTGGTGTGCTTTGATTGGCTGTGATGTTAGCCTCTTGCATGTCAGTGAGTTTCTATCCTATTGGCTGATTCTTTTCTCTTCTTCTGCATTTACCCTAAAAATGGCAGTTGGCACATTATATTCAAGTTTACAGCTAGCTGCTATATCTATGTGTTTTGACTAATAATTACATTCTGTGTTAGCAGAATCTTAATAAGTCACCTTTTATGACCTGCTTGTTAAGGGGGCAGTGGGTCTATCCCCACCCCCTTCCCGAATGGGGTCAGGAACCCACACAGAGCTGGCTCTGCTATTGACTTCTGTTGTTTCTTTCAGGACATTTACAGAGCAGAGTGGTCTATTACCTCATGAATATACATGTACTCCCAAGAACCATTTACCTAACCAGGGTGAGTAACCATTACCTTAACCAGGCTAATTTAACCAGTAAGTTTATCAGAAAAGGTAGCCATTTTTCAACCTTTTCTTCATGAGCCAGCACCCTGAGGTGCCCCAATATAACTGTCTTGTATACAATTGAATGGGCTGTCTAGGATTTACAGCTGGTGGGTTTGCATTAGAAAATCGGTTATATCCCAATATCTCCTATAAAATAGACAGTCTAATATTTTATGGTAGATAGGCTGCATGCAGTCGTGGGACCTAGGGTGCATGCAGTCGTGGAACCTAGGCTGAACTCTCTCGTGGGATGTAGGTGTTTTGGGGTCAGGGCTAGTTCTAGATGTTTTGGGGTAGTTAAAAGCATCAGAAAGCTGGGAAACCCATTGTTACAACCCTCGAAAATATTGGACTGTCCTGTGATGTCATCCTGGAGGGGGGGGGGGGGGGGGGTGTTTGGAAATCATTGAAAAGCAGCTCCTTTGAGTCAATGGGGATAAGTTTTTGAGGCTGCTATCTCTGACGAGGAAACTATGAGCCCATGAGAATTTCTGAACAATTCTTTGAAAACAACAATGTTACACAGGTATCAATTGTTGAAAAAAAAAAAAAACTATCTACATATTTAAATGTGTATTTTGAAATATATAAGGATATATAAATGGAGTAATTGGTAAACAGGAACAGGGTGAAGCATTAAGTTTAGTGCATTCTCTGAGGCCTAACATAAATATGTATGAGATTACTCATACTGTACCCCTTGGCCTCTTACACTGAGGCTTACTGGAAAATGCTTTTTACAAAAGCTGTTGGGTTTAGAAGGAAACCAATCTGAAGGCTATATTTAGTTCTCAATCTGCACTTTGTATTATTCAAAATGGACAGAGTGGGTACCAAGCACAAGCACTGCTTAAGGGACTCACATGTAAATATTGTTGAGGTCATGCTGGAATGTGGGACATTGTTGGTATTGTCAGGAGCCAACCCAGTCAGGCTACAGATTCTTTGTAATGGTCAGGTGCCCCAGTATACCTGCCATGTGTTGAACAGGGTTTCTGGGATTTGTTCCTGGTGATTCTTTGGAGGCACCAGGTGCTGATTACTCTGTGTGCAGTACTGTGTCGTGTGCGGATGTGCACTAGAACGCACCAGTACTGAGTGAGCAAATAGGACGTCAAAACAAATATGTCAGCTAGTGAGGGAACTGTTGTCAAAGGCATTCGATGTTTACAGTTTGAAGGAGACAGACATGTGGATCCTTGAGGATGCTTTACCCCGGGATGCCACTGAAAGCAGTCATTGTATGAAGTTGCATCGTTGAGGACACTCTTTCCTGGGACTCCACTATAAACCTCAGCAGAAAGCTGGTATAGTGCCTACAACTTTCGGCAGTAAGCCGGTATACTTATATTACCTTGTTCAGACTGCAGAAGAGAAAATCAAGATGATTGTCCGGATTCCAAGGTCGGACTGAGATCATTGGGATTGTCCGGATTCCCAAGGTCCGACTGTGACCCGTCATTTGTTATGAAGTCAGTTGATGTCGAGCGGCTCGTGTTGGTGTGGTTAAATGAGTCTTTATTTTTTGCACATGATTTCATCCGTTGATCATCGGTATCTCAATACATCGTTGGAACTTAACTCACAACGTTCGTGTTCTACCATTTGAAAGCATTGCAGTTCCTACTATTATACCCCATTTGGCCTACTTCATCGTTGGTACGCCACACATCACCGTGAAGCCACCGCACGTCACAGTCTGTTGGTTTGAGGGGCAGCAGCTGTTGGAAAGGATGAATAATGGAGATATAAAAACTGTCTTTGAAAAAGAATGGTTGCTGAAGATACAGTGATCAAGGAAAATACAGTGGGGACCAAAGTTTCAAGACTACGTAGTAGATAATTGATATTTCCATACTGTTACAGAGTACTGTATTAACTATCAGTTAAGGACACATTAACTGTGACCATTACACAGTCATTACAGCCTATTGCTTCATGCTGACATTTGTTGCTGCAAATACAAACTGTTTTAGTGCCATTTGGTTATTTTAGAAGTATTGAATCCAGATTTTGTGTTCTCAATATACTATTGAGATATCAGCTACTTACTGAGTGATCTTGAACTTGGGACCACAGTTATAAATGTTTGAGAATCTGCTTTGTGAAGCTCTCTAGTCAATGGCCTGTTTATATCTGTAGAAAATTACATGTGAACCTCTCTAGTAAATGACATGTTTACCTCTCTAATAAATGACGTGTTTACCTGTCAGGTAAATGACATGTTTGACCTCTTTGGTGAATAAATAATATGTTTATTACAGCACGGGGAAAGTCAGATGAACCTGCAAGGTCGTATCGGAGGTGACAGCGATCTTAGCGAACAGGGAGAAAGGGTAAGACAGCTCTCTTGTCTCAGCTTTGCTGTTTGAAAATTGTTTTTTTTTTCTTCTGTTATCATGGTTTAAATGGGTGGTTGTCATCATGTTGTGTTGTGGTTTGCAGCTAGGCAGTGATGTCTACACCTTTTGGCCCTTTCACATCTGATTTCAGCAAACACTTATTAGCTGCATGTTAAGCATGTTTGTGGACGGCAGTTGGTTTGTTCCTCCTCCCCCTCCACTTCCCCTCACCCACCCCACCCCAGCCTCATGTTGTCAAAGGCGGCTAATTAGGAATCTTTTCTTCAAAGTCAGAGTGTATCTGCCTGACAGACTAGAAACCAACAGCCTGCATACATATAAGCCACATCTGTAAAATGGATTTGCACATAAAACAAGTTCTGAAACAAGACTGAAGTCCAGAAGTGGACAAACACTCAGAACTTTCTGCTGGAGTTTACAGCCAAGGAGCATGAAGGGCATGGTTTTTTTCTGTTCTGTTCTGTTCTTTTTTTTTTTTTTTTTTAAAAACTTTTTGATTTCTTTCTTTTCTGTTCTTTTCTGTTCTTTTCTGTTCTTTTCTTTCTTTCTTTCTTTCTTTCTTTCTTTCTTTCTTTCTTTCTTTCTTTCTTTCTTTCTTTCTTTCTTTCTTTCTTTCTTTCTTTCTTTCTTTCTTTCTTTCTTTCTTTCTTTCTTTCTTTCTTTCTTTCTTTCTTTCTTTCTTTACTTCTTTTTTCTGTCTCTAGTTTTGCATTTTCTTCTTTGTTACTGTTTTCTCCCCTTTTGTATCATTCAAACTCTTTTTCTGGACAATATTGTGTTTGAGATCAATGATAGACAGCCTGCTGCCTGTACTTAGAGATGACCAGTGCTGGAACATGTGTGCTTGTTTTCCCCCCAGTATGCTGAAGAGTTGGCCAAGTTTGTCCAGAGTGAGAACATCCCTAACCTCAAAGTGTGGACCAGCGAGCTGAAGCGCACCATCCAGACAGCTCGCCACATCCAGGCACCCAAGGAGCACTGGAAGGCGCTCAACGAGATTGATGCGGTATGTCTGTGTTGAGGTTCTCTGCATGCCTTCTCTTTGCCTCCATCTTGTTTGTATTTGCTTTTTATCTTTTGTGTTGTTTATCCAGTTAACATTTGTGTGGAAAGTTGTGCTGTTTATTTCTGTTTGAGCCACAGTGGCGAATGGCTAGATGCTCACCTGCCAGTCCAAAAAGGTTTTAGGTTCAAATCTGTCAGATATTTTTTCCTTTAGCAGTAACCTTGGTTCCTAGGTCAGCCCAGACTGAAATAGACGCCATGTAAAGTCTGGGGAAGCAAAGGCCGCTGTGGTGACGTTGACCATATCACCCATGGTAGACCGGTTGCGTCTATGAAAAAGATACGGCTTTATCACCATGTATCCAGTGTCCCACTTGCATAAAAAAGGTCCTTTACTGCTTTGATTTCATTTTCCTTGATGCTGTTTCACCAACAACCCAGTTCTGTTCATCTCCACAATGATCGTTGTTAAGAAATGTTCTGTTATCATTAAAACAGGGTTTCTGCTTCACTTTGTTTGGTTTTTTAAACTTGTAATAATTTTCTTTGATGTTTTTTTTTTTTAAAAGTGTCCTGATGTTTGCAGTGTGGTCGCAGTGTTTGGCTTCTTGAGTTTTATTTTACTTTTTTTGCAATTGTATTTCTTCTTTGCATTTTCAATGTTTAAAATATCAACTTTAGCTTTATCAGAAGATACATAACAAAAATATTACTAATAGAGCTGTTTTACAAAAAATCTTGTTTGACTTTTCTTTGTCCTATTTTGCAATTCAGATTTATTTAAACTTTGGTTTGTCCATTGAATTGATCCTGTTCAACCCTTGCTGTTTGTTTTTATCATATTAAGTATACAGCTACATCTGTACAGCCTCCAGTTATCCCACAGGTATTCATGCCCACATAATAATAGGAATAAGTAAAATGAGTCGCCTTGTTTGATCATAAAGAGCTTGTAGGCAACAGAAATGTGCTTTCTGAGACACAAGTTATGAACTCCTGGCACTGCCAGAGTTATTGACAACAGTCTTCTGCTCCCAGTGGAGCACACTGTCAACACACATACCAGGTTCTTCATAGACTTTTGTTTGGATTATGCAGCCAACCCTCCCTAGTTGGCACCATGCATGACAGAAAACAGTCATGCTTTGCTCGGCTTCCCTTATTGGTCCTAGTTCCACTTGGGCAAAAGCTACCTTGATGAGGCCCTTGAAAAAATGAGGCCCATGAAAGCATGAGGCCCATGAAAGGATGAGGCCCATAAAAGGATGAGGCCCATGAATGGATGAGGCCCATGAAAGAATGAGGCCCATGAAAGGATGAGGCCCATGAAAGGATGAGGTCCATGAAAGGATGAGGCCCATGAAAGGATGAGGTCCATGAAAGGATGAGGCCCATGAAAGGATGAGGCTCATGAAAGGATGAGGCCCATGAAAGGATGAGGGCCATGAAAGGATAAGGTGTGTGAAAGGATGAGGCACATGAAAGGATGAGGTCCAAGAAAGGATGAGGTCCATGAAAGGATGAGGCACATGAAAGGATGAGGCACATGAAAGGATGAGGTCTATGAAAGGATGAGGTCTATGAAAGGATGAAGTCCACAAAAGGATGAGGCCCATGAAAGGATGAGGCCCATGAAAGGTTGAGGTCCATGAAAGGTTGAAGTCTGTGAAAGGCTGAGGCACATGAAAGGATGAGGTCTATGAAAGGATGAGGCCCATGAAAGGATGAGGCCCATGAAAGGATGAAGTCCATGAAAGGATGAGGCACATGAAAGAATGAGCTCCATAAAAGGATGAGGCATATGAAAGGATGAGGCATATGAAAGGATGAGGTCCATGAAAGGATGAGGCCCATGAAAGGATGAGGTCTATGAAAGGATGAAGTCCACAAAAGGATGAGGCCAATGAAAGGTTGAGGTCTATGAAAGGTTGAGGTCTGTGAAAAGGATGAGGCACATGAAAGGATGAGGCACATGAAAGGATGAGGCACATGAAAAAAGGATGAGGTCTATGAAAGGATGAGGCACATGAAAGGATGAGGCACATGAAAGGATGAGGCCCATGAAAGGATGAGGTCCATGAATGGATGAAGTCCATGAAAGGATGAGGCACATGAAAAGATGAGGCACATGAAAGGATGAGGCACATGAAAGGATGAGGCACATGAAAGGATAAGGTCCATGAAAGGATGAGCCCCATGAAAGGATAAGATCCATGAAAGGATGAAGCCCATGAAAGGATGAGGTCCATGAAAGGATGAGGCACATGAAAGGATGAGGCACATGAAAGGATGAGGCACATGAAAGGATGAGGTCTATGAAAGGATGAAGTCCATGAAAGGATGATGCCCATGAAAGGATGATGCCCATGAAAGGATGATGCCCATGAAACGATGAGGTCATGAAAGGATGAGGCACATGAAAGGATGAGGTTTATGAAAGGATGTCCATGAAAGGATGAGACACACGAAAGGATAAGGTATCAGTCCCGTATCTCTTCTTATTGTCTCTTTGAGCAAGGTTTTAATCTACTGATGGCATATCAGCAAATATTTAGGATGTAAATCATAACATTGTCACAAGTCACTGGATTTATTCCAGATATTTTTCTTGGATCTACGTGATCAGTTAATGTTTATGCTGACTTAACTGCAGGACTACTTCATGTGTTTCTGGTGCTATCCGTGGCTCTCATTTGTGTCCTGGTCTCAATTCTAGTCATTTCTCTTACCTCTTACTGCATTGCTATCACCAATTGTGAACAAAGTGGCCAAGCAAATGGACACTGCTCAGTCAGATGTGGAGACCTGGGTTTTAAACCCATACTGAACAGCACTTGTAAAGAACAATGTAAAAGTCTATTGTACAGCTTGGATACATCAGCTCACAGAACCATCCATGGAAACATGGACCATGGCTTCAGACATCAACTTACAGAACCATCCATGGAAACATGGACCATGGTTTCAGACATCAACTTACAGAACCATCCATGGAAACATGGACCATGGTTTCAGACATCAACTTACAGAACCATCCATGGAAACATGGACCATGGTTTCAGACATCAGCTCACAGAACCATCCATGGAAACATGGACCATGGTTTCAGACATCAGCTCACAGAACCATCCATGGAAACATGGACTATGGTTTCAGACATCAGCTCACAGAACCATCCATGGAAACATGGACCATGGTTTCAGACATCAGCTCACAGAACCATCCATGGAAACATGGACAATGGTTTCAGACATCAGCTCACAGAACCATCCATGGAAACATGGACCATGGCTTCAGACATCAACTCACAGAACCATCCATGGAAACATGGACCATGGTTTCAGACATCAACTTACAGAACCATCCATGGAAACATGGACCATGGTTTCAGACATCAGCTCACAGAACCATCCATGGAAACATGAACCATAGTTTCAGACATCAACTTGCAGAACCATTCATGGAAACATGAACCATAGTTTCAGACATCAACTTGTAGAACCATCCATGGAAACATTAACCATAGTTTCAGACATCAACTTTCAGAACCATCCATGGAAACATGAACCATAGTTTCAGACATCAACTTTCAGAACCATCCATGAAAACATGGACCATAGTTTCAGACATCAGCTCACAGAACCATCCATGGAAACATGGACCATGGTTTCAGACATCAGCTCACAGAACCATCCATGAAAACATGGACCATAGTTTCAGACATCAGCTCACAGAACCATTCATGGAAACATGGACCATAGTTTCAGACATCAGCTCACAGAACCATCCATGGAAACATGGACCATGGTTTCAGACATCAACTCACAGAACCATCCATGAAAACATGAACCATAGTTTCAGACATCAGCTCACAGAACCATCCATGGAAACATGGACCATAGTTTCAGACATCAGCTCACAGAACCCTCCATGGAAACATGAACCATGGTTTCAGACATCAACTGACAGAACCATCCATGTAAACATGGACCATAGTTTCAGACATCAGCTCACAGAACCATCCATGGAAACATGGACCATAGTTTCAGACATCAGCTCACAGAACCATCCATGGAAACATGGACCATAGTTTCAGACATCAGCTCACAGAACCATCCATGGAAACATGGACCATGGTTTCAGACATCAACTCGCAGAACCATCCATGAAAACATGGACCATAGTTTCAGACATCAGCTCACAGAACCATTCATGGAAACATGGGCCATAGTTTCAGACATCAGCTCACAGAACCATTCATGGAAACATGGACCATAGTTTCAGACATCAACTCACAGAACCAAATATGTAAGAAATGAAACAACCCTTTAGACATCAGCTCACTGAACCATATGGAAACATAGACCCATAGTTTCAGTTTAGAGCTCACAGAACTTGATGGGAGGTGAACCAGTATCAGTGTGCTGGTTTACATTACCTCCATGAAAACATGGACCTTTTCCACATTGTCAAAAACATCCATGGAAAAATGTTCCTCATAATTCAGACATTATCACAGAACCATTTTGAAAACATATCCTCACTTCTCAGATTACTCTCTCTCTCCATCCATGGAAACATGGACTTGGTTTCAGACTCAACATGCTTTATTTGTCTATCAATTTATCTTTCTCACTTTCACTGTCTGTCCATCATGGAAACCTCTTCACCATGATTTCTGTCATGTCTTACAGTTTCATCTATTTTCATGGACTGCCTCTGTTCCTCCTCAGTTCTCATCTTGTGGAAACTCCGTCTATGGTCTTCCGACATTCACTTGCAGAACCATCCATGAAAACATAAGTTGCTAGTTAATTGTGTCATCATCTCACAGAACCATCCTGGTACATGTCTAGTTTCGTCTCTTGTCACAGTCTCCATCCATTGAAACATGGGCCATAGTTTCACATCAGCTCACAGAACCTCATGGAAACATGGACCACACAGACATCATAGATGTTATCACCCTGGACAGGAATGAAACAACCCTTTTTCAGCTGGCATATAATGTTAGCCACACCCATGTATGTTTAGACCTATCACACAGCTCAGGTGGGGAAACTATTTGTGCACTTATAAATTTCTCTTGCTGATTTTTCCAATTGTAAAAACAGTTGTAAAACTGTAGGTTCATAATTGACATTATAGAAAGTTTTGTATTTAACTTCTCAGATTACTCTTCCTCACATTGGTTTTCTCTGGCAATGTGTATTTTCTCTTGTGCATTATTTGTCTATACATTTGCTTGTCTCACTTTCACTGTCTGATGTTTCCTCTGTTCCTCTTCAGGGGATCTGTCTGTCTGTTTCCTATGAGGAGATACACTGATCTGTCCTCAGGTTTCTTTGCACTCCGTCTAGACCAGGACAAGTCACTCCAACCCTTTCTGAAGCTCTCTAAGTTGGGAGTTATTTTGTCTCTCTGCTGCTGCTTACTGCCTGTGCTTCGTGGGGCAGCCTTGTCTTTTCTTGTCTGGACTGTCAATTAATCCACTGAGATCACTCTACAGCAACCCTGTTATGAATGGACAGGAAGATCACATGCTTTCAGCTGTTGACTGTTCACCACAGCTGGTATTAGTTATCACACAGCTCACAGAAACTACTTATCACTTATAAATTTCTCTTGCTGATTTCTCCCAGAACAGTTGTACAACTTTAGGTTTACATTTATAGCTCATAGAAAGTTTATTTTAACGGACAGAAGGAACACTTCCTGCACATTGGTTTGTTTGGCAATGTGGTATTGATTTGTGCATGCTTGTGTGTACATTTGCTTGTCTGCCATTGCTGATGTAAGCTGTGCCTTTCAGGGGATCTGTGAAGGGATGACCTATGAGGAGATACAAGATCAGTACCCTCAGGACTTTGCAGACCGAGACCAGGACAAGTACCACTACAGATACCCTAGCGGGGAGGTATTTTATCTCTGCTGTTGCTTGGCCTGTGCTCCTGGGGCAGCCTTGTCTTTTCTTGTAGCCATCAAGTCCACTAGACTCTAGACAAACCCTGGGGTGAATACAGGAACAGTGTACTGTAGTCAATATCTGGAGGTGAATATGGGGATACTTGACTGTAGTCGATCCCTGGGGTGAATACATGAATACTAGACTGTAGTCAATATCTGGGGTGAATACAGGGACAATAGACTGTAGTCAGACCATGGTGTGAATACAGGGACACTAGACTAGTCAAATCATGAGGTGAATACAGGGACACTAGGCTGTAGTCAAACCCTTGGGTGGGAACAGGGATACTAGACTGTAGTCAAATCATGGGGTGAATACATGAACACTAGACTAGTCAATATCTGGGGTGAATACAGGGACATTAGACTGTAGTCAACCCATGGTGTGAAAACAGGGACACTAGACTAGTCAAACCCTGAGGTGAATACAGGGACACATGGCTTTAGTTAAACCATGGGGTGAATACCAGGAACACTGTAGTGGAAAACATCAGCTTTACAGGAAACCAGTCACACATAACTGAGTAGACATTCTGGCAACAAAGCCTTCATCAGAAAATAAAGCATGTACTGTTTTTAAAAATCAACACATACACACTCAAAACTTTTTTTTTAAACTGCCTATAGTACCACTTTTTTCAGGGGGGGGGGGGGGGGGGATGTGTCAGACGGAGGGTTCATGAGCCTGAGGTGGCTAGTGCATTCACCACAAACTGAAGGTTAGGATGTTGTGTGTTTTCCCCCTAACAGATACAACCTCCACGTCCTTACATGAGACTGTAAGTCAGGTCTTTTATGTGTTATAACCACTGTGTCAGCAGTTTCTCAACCAGTTTTTTATAACTAGTACATTACAATGGTACAGTGTTTCTGTTTTTGAACCCATTTCTGTTTTGATACATGTTGTACATCACCTTCATGTGCAATATTCTATTAGTATCAGTAGAGAAGTAAGACCCATGACAGATACCAGTTTCTGGTGGATATTTGAAGAACTTGGTGATGGCTGCAAGATTTGGTGGCACAAGAGCTCAGGGAAGGCAAAGAGATAAATACCTGGATGGCTTGGTTGTATGGTTGGGGCGAAACACCAGCACTGACCTGATCCTTGATTCTAGTGATCGTGTGAGCTTTAGCAAAACATGACCATCTATGCTGTTGGTAGGGCACATGATGATGATTAGTATCAGCCTGCCTTTGATGGCTGATTGTTGCCTGATTGGACAGTTTCACTGTCAGTGTAGCCATCAGTACTGTCATGTGTTGTCTCGGACCACACTAGAAGCTGCTACATCAACCAGTTCCCTCCCTCACTTACCCCCTGTCCTTTTGATGTAACAAAGGGTGCTCCTGCATGGTTTTCCTGTCTGGCGGTGCCAATTGTTATACCTAGGGTATGCTGTCTGTTCAGTGAAAAGTCATTTTCCACGAAACTGAAAGCCTGACAGTGTTTAGTCTCTCCTGTCCATAGATGGCTCATTCCTGATAGTAACAATGCCAGCCAGTGGCGTCTGCCCTCTCATTGCCTTTCACACCAGCATTCCCTAGGACAGAAATGGATGTGATTTGCCAAAATGCTGCGTGCTGTATCAGATAAATCCACTGTGTACATATATGCCCTACCTTGATCGTCTGTAGCGTGCTCATTGAGTCACTGAGAAAGGTTGCATTGGTGAATCCCTGAGTTTTCAGCCATTCTAGGACCTTTGTCACAGCCATGACCTCTTGTCATGCTGCTGGTGGTAGAAGCAAAGGCTCCACTGTCTTCTTTGATGACTTTTCCTGTAGTTCTTGCCATGAAAGCCCATGCTCTTTCCTTCTGACGAATCACAGAACCATCTGTTTATAGAACAGCATATTTTAGGGGTGTATTTGTCTCCACCAGTGCTATCAAGCAAGAATACTGCAAGAAGCTTGCAGCATTTACTCACAGTAATGGTAGACAAGCACAATCCATATTGTGTACACCCTAGTGGAACGCTTATGACAATGCTCAGAGAGAGTGCGCTGCATGCCTGCTAGAACAACTGAATGAACAAACCTTATTTTCAAATGTTTAAAAGTTGGGCATGCTGATTCATGTTATATTCTGCCCTTCTGGCCTCACTGTTCGCATACAGTATTCTGTCAGACATCATATATCAGATAAAATATAAACATTATCAGCAACACCTAAGTCTAATTACAAATGCTGGAATGTGCCCTGTCTGGGATCTAGAGACTCATTTTGTATAACGCTGACAAAGAATAGATCCACTGTCCCCACCCCTGTCAAGCATGACATGAAAGTGCCAACAGTCTCAGAAATCATAGCCTTACTGTAAACCGCAACACAAAGAGGCCAACTGCCAGTTTGGGGCTGACTGCAAAAGAAGAAGAATGTGGTGGAAACCTTCAGTTGTATTTGTACAGATCTTGTCTCAGTCTTCCGTGATCTTTCTGTCACTTTGTGTGTGTGTGTGTGTGTGTGGAGTTACTTCTGGAGTAGTCACTGAAGTAGTCACCCACAACTGACGGATATCTTGCCTTCTTCTAGTTGATCACTTGTGCTCAATCCTGGCTGAAATTGTTGTCTGATAGATTATATTACTGTGTACTTCTTGCTGTATCTGTTGTTCTATTTACCGTCACTGAAAACATGGCTGCCTCTTGTCAGTTGGACTGAGCTTTAAGTCACTTGTGTTGTAGACATGCTTTTGTTGTATGTCTATGTGTATGCTGCTTTCACAACACCAACAGTGCTGCTTTTATTCACTTTATATATATATATATATATATAAGTATATGTTGTTCCTTTTTGTTGCAAATGATTATGATAAGTTCAACTATCCTGAATACATGTTTTTCTCATTATTGCTAGTTCCGCGTTCCAGAATACATTTTCCCCCCTCATTATCATTAGTTCAGTTTTCCTGAATACATTTTTCTCCTCACTACCATTAGTTCAGTTTTCCTGATTACATTTTTCTCCTCACTACCATTAGTTCAGTTTTCCTGATTACATTTTTCTCCTCACTACCATTAGTTCAGTTTTCCTGAATACATTTTCCCCCTCATTATCATTAGTTCAGTTTTTGTATTGAATTTGAGTTGGGGGCATTAGTATCCTATAATTAAATAAGTGAGCTCCAAGAATAAGATCCTTGCAGGAAGTATATATGTACATCTGTGTCTTTACCAGGGTGTGCAGTCTTACATACATGTAAGTTGTACTTTCATGGGGAACGGAGCACAGAGAGGAGCTCTGACTGATGGTGAGGGACTTGTAGAGAATGTGTTCAAGCCTGAAGATTAACTATGGGGTGACTGGAGAAGTTCTGTCCCACACTCCCCTACATCACATTTCCAGTCACTTGACTGTTAGTCACAGTCAATCAGCCACATAGCTGTTGCATCTCAACCAGCCTCAGTCATACAGGGGCTAGCATGCTTACCTGGTGGCCTTTATGTCTTTGGTTTGATTGTGGTCATATCCAGTGTTTGAAATTGACATGGACTTCTAGTTCCACCCAGCCTGTACCAGGAAATGTGGCATGTAATAGCAGCTGCTGTAATATAGCTGGCACACATGAAGGTGGAGACATGGGCCTCATAAATGGTGGAGGACATGGGTCCTATCTGTAGGTGTGCACATCAGACCTATAGGTGTGCACATGCGGCCCATAAATGGTGTGTTGGCTGTGAGCTACTGGCAGAAACTGATGATTCTCTTGTATTTTATTTTGTGCAGTCATACCAGGACCTGGTTGCCCGCCTGGAGCCCGTCATTCTGGTGAGTCTTTCTCTCGTCTGTTCAAACACACTGTCGTCATAGGTCATCGTCTCTTCATGCTTTTGTTTTTTTCTTTCCAAATTCTCATTGGGAAGTTTATTTGTTGGTGGGATGTTTTTGTCCATCTTGTCTATGAGAGCATTTATGCATTTGCACTGAGAGTCTTCTTGCCTGGTCTTTGGGAGGAGATTAGAGCACCTACAGGGTGGATCTCTGTGTGCAGGAGATTGGAGCACCTACAGAGTGGATCTCTGTGTGTGCAGGAGATTGGAGCACCTACAGAGTGGATCTCTGTGTGTGCAGGAGATTAGAGCACCTACAGGTTGATCTTGTTCACAACAGAATAGATCATTACAAATAGGTAGTCACTCTTCAGCATCTGTGGCTTAGGTATTGCGAGCCTGCTTCCTAATGCGGTAGTCCTGGGTTCAATCCCAGCTTAGGCCATTTGGCAGCAGACTGGCTTGCATTGGTTTTGACAAAGCTATTGAGAGCTGACCGTTCAGGAAAGAAATGGCAAACTACTGAACATAAATTTGCTTAGAAAAACCACAGCAGTTGAAAGAAAATGCTGGGATTGGTTCTGCAGCATCATGTAAAAGACAGTTTGCTAACTTTTTGAAGTGACTGTCACAAGTTTTACAAATAGACCAGAAACACAGTATGTTTATAACCTGTGATGCTGCAGCTAGCACTGCAGGCTGAAGCGTGCCAGTACAGTAGATGATATCTGCTCCAGTGGGCTTTAGATGGCTGGTACATTACAAGTCCCACGTTGAGCCCTTTACAAGTATTGTATTTATATTGGAAGCCCTCTTAATTGTCAGCTGGTGGGGTAATCATCATCCTGTATCCCCTTTATTTCCCAGGACTTTTCCTGGTTGGTACCTGTTTTAAACGAGCTTGACATCAGAGCCAAAGACAGTTTTTTTTTTGGGTAATGTTTTTGTTTTGGGAAATTTGAACACATGACTGCCAGACTGGTGGACAAACGTGGTAACCACCGAGTACTGTTGCAGATCTCTTAATGTGGTAGATTCTCTCAGTTGGGTAGATTCTCTTAGTTGGATAGATTCAGGGTAGATTCACTTAGTTGGGTAGAATCAGGGTAGATTCACTTAGTTGGGAAGATTTAGGGTAGATTCACTTAGTTAGTTGGATAGATTCAGGGTAGACTTACTTAGTTGGGTAGATTATCTAAGTTAGGTAGATTCAGGGTAGATTCACTTAGGTAGGTTCTCTTAGGTAGATTCTCTTAGTTGGATAGATTCAGGGTAGATTCACTTGGTTAGTTGGGTAGATTTTCTTAGTCGTTAGTCACATGGATAAAGAGTTTACTGTGCCAGCTGTAGGATGTTGATATTGTAGAATCTAACCATTGCTGACACTGATCCCAGGAACTGGAGAGACAGGAGAATGTCATGGTCATCTGTCACCAGGCGGTGCTGCGCTGTCTGCTGGCCTATTTCCAGGACAAAAATGCCGGTAAGCCTGCCATTTCCTGCCTGATGGACTAACCCCCAATAGTGGCTTGCTTGGCTTCTTGCTGCCTGGCTATTGCTTGTTTCTGTTTGACACTCGCATGCTTCTTGCTTCACTCCGCCATCCATTTCGCAGCACTAAATTGTCAAATTTTCAAATATTCCTGTTTGTTACAGTTGACTTTTTCTCTCCCGTAAGTTTTACACGGTTACATACAGTTGTACAGTTACTGTATCCACTTCTCTTCAAGGCAGAAACATTTTGTAAACTTTTCATTTGCTTCATTGGTTCTCATTTATATCCCACTTTCCAATGTTTTTATTGCATGATTTAGCATAGCGACAGTCTTGTTTAGTCTTTTATCCTCTACCTTAGGATGTAGAGGTACCTTAAGTCTTGTTTAAGTGTCTTTCCTCTTCTACCCTGGGAGGTAGAGGTACCTTACAGTTAGGTTTAGTCTTTCCTCTTCTCCCTGGTATGTTTAGGTACCTTACAGTCTTGTTTAGTCTTACATTTTCTACCCTGGGATGTAGAGGTAGGTACCTTACAGTTTTGTTTAGTCTTTCACCTTCTACCCTGGGATGTAGAGGTAGGTACCTTACAGTCTTGTTTAGTCTTTCACCTTCTACCCTGGGATGTAGAGGTACCTTACAGTCTTGTTTAGTCTTTCATTTTCTACCCTGGGATGTAGAGGTAGGTACCTTACAGTTTTGTTTAGTCTTTCACCTTCTACCCTGGGATGTAGAGGTACCTTACAGTTTTGTTTAGTCTTTCACCTTCTACCCTGGGATGTAGAGGTACCTTACAGTCTTGTTTAGTATTTAATCTTATACCCTGGGTTGTAATGGTACCTTACAGTCTTGTTTAGTATTTAATCGTCTACCTTAAAATTTTGGTCAATATCTTATTTTCTTGTTTGATTTACCTCTATATGTATGTGGTGCTTGATTGTGTTTACATACCTGCATCTTTAAGTCACAATACCTGTGTCATATATAAATGGCATGACAATATTTGGCTAGTTTCATGTTGAACCTAGGAATCACCTATAGTTTAGACAACTGACATATTTGATAAAGTTTTCAGCTATTATGTAAGTTGGTCCTTAAACGTCCTATTTCCAGAATAATGGCCCTGTCTCTAGCTTGGAGGTTATAAATGCAGTTTCATAATTCTGACATGCTAGGTTCATTTCAGCTGCATGAGAAAAGACAGCAAACCACTTTGTGTTGATTTCAATAATAGAATGAGCGTAGACTGTTCAGTAAGCAATGGCCACCTACTGAACGTAAATTCATAAACCCATAAACAGCCAAAAGGTAACTAACTAGCTTTGAACTTTATTTGGTGCATAAGTGTCACTGTAGTGACCTTTGGTGAAGCTATTTTTGGTGTAGTCTCATCTGGTAGGGGCATTCAACTCTGTTCAATCAGTTGGTATCAAGAGTAGTAGTAACTGACTGAACTCTTGAACTTGTGGAGTGTTTTCATGGGCTACTTGAAATCTGCTATGGTTTGTAGAGGAGAACACACTTGTTTCTATAGGCTTAAGTGAGAGTTTTAGTTTCAGTTTGTCTGGTCCAAATCTGGTATAAATTGGTAGGATGGTCCAATACAGTTTGGTCTAATGCTTACAGAAGTTATCTTTGGTGATAAAGTTTGAAGCTTGTAGAACATCATGAGATGCTTGATGAGGCTTGTATTCTTAAATGTTGGAGTTTAAAACATACATAATATACACACTCACATATGTACATATCAACCAGGTCTTGGTCAGATATGCCTTGGTCAGATTAGCCTTGGCTGGCAGCTGGTCTAGGTAGGCAGCTCCGATAGGTGGACAGACAGAGAACTGTTTTTCTGGTGAAGCAGCATCTCATGCATGCTTCGTTCTTTGTTGTTGCTGTTCTTTTAAAGGTAACAATGCAGGCTGAGGGAAGGTTGCAGGAAACAATAAAATGAGGATAAATCTGTTTCAGTACTGTTCCTAAGACACAGGAAGAAAAGTGTGAGGCTTGAACTCTATGGCCAAGGCTACAAAAATGCACAAATATGCTCACAGGATCTCAGGCAGTCAGATACATGGGGGTGCCTGGTTACAGATGGGGGTGAAATAGATGAGGCTATGGAAAGTACCATCATTGTGCACAAGTGGACACACATGTACTTCTTGTTCTGGTGTTACAAACCATCTAGCCAGGTCAAAATTGTGGACTTTAGCCATGGTTATGTTGGAGTCAAGGGCACCTGACACTTACTGCAGAGGGCACTGTACAACTCGCATGGCACCTGGCACTTATTGCAGAGGGCACTGTACAACTCACATGGCACCTGCCACTCACTGCAGAGGGCATTATACGACCTACATGGCTCCTAACACTTACTACAGAGGGCTCTGTACCACTCACATGGCACCTAACACTTACTGCAGAGGGCACTGTGCAACTCACATGGCACCTGGTACTTACTGCAGAGGGCACTGTACAACTCACATGGCACCTGACACTTACTGCAGAGTGCACTGTACAATCTACATGGTACCTGACACTTACTACAGAGGGCACTGTAGAGCCCACATGGCACCTGACACTCACTACAGAGGGCACTGTACAACCCACATGGCACCTGACAATCACTACAGAGGGCACTGTACAACCCACATGGCACCTGACACTCACTACAGAGGGCACTGTACAACCCACATGGTACCTGACACTCACTACAGAGGGCACTGTACAACCCACATGGCACCTGACACTCACTACAGAGGGCACTGTACAACCCACATGGCACCTGACACTCACTACAGAGGGCACTATACAACCCACAGGGCACCTTACACTCACTACAGAGGGCACTATACAACCCACAGGACACCTTACACTCACTACAGAGGGCACTATACAACCCACAGGGGCACCTTACACTCACTACAGAGGGCACTGTACAACCCACAGGGCACCTTACACTCACTACAGAGGGCACTATACAACCCACAGGGCACCTTACACTTACTGCAGAGGGCACTATACAACCCACAGGGTACCTCACACTTACTGCAGAGGGCACTGTAGACCCCACAGGGCACCTGACACTCACTAAAGAGGGAACTGTACAACCTACAGGGCACCTCACACTTACCACAGAGCTCACTATATAACCCACAGGGCACCTGCCACTCACTGCAGAGGGCAGTGTAGACACCACAGGGCACCTTAAATGGCACAGTTATGTTACACAGCACAGGGCACAGCACAGGGCACCTTTTATCTCACAGGGCACGTTACAAGTACAGGGCGCCCTATATCTAACAGTGCCTAGGGTAATGAAATGTTCACATTAAATTATTTTTGATTCTGTAATAATTGTATGCTTTATTTGATGGTTGATAAATGTTAACATTAACAGTGGATGGGGTGTTTTGCAGGGGATACTGTATTGCAAATTGTGGGTGTTTATGGGATCCCATAATTTAAAATTTTTTGTAACATTTTAACATTGTATCACCCATATTTTAAATGTAATAAAATGTTAACAGTATCACCCACAATTTTTAATTTTGAAAAAATTAATGTTAATATCAAGGGGATGATATGTCCTTTCTTGATTAAAAAATGATCCCATTTTTGAAGCTGATAAATGTTAGCAGTGAATGATGTATGCTTAATGGTGAAACCCCATGTTAAAATGCATAAAGAAGATGACAGGTTTTCATATGACAAGTCAAGAGTGTGTGTATGTGTGACAGATGTACGTACGTCTGTGTACTTATGAGAACACCTGGCTGCCAGATGCTGCACTACTGTCACTTCTGTGTGGACTCTGGGCTACAAGTAGAGTCGCCACCCACAAAGATATTCTCCTATTTCACACATCACTTCTGTGTGGACTCTGGGCTACAAGTAGAGTCGCCACCCACAAAGATATTCTCCCTTTTCACACATCACTTCTGTGTGGACTCTAGGCTACAAGTAGACTCGCCACCCACAAAGATATTCTCCTATTTCACACATCACTTCTGTGTGGACCTTAGGCTTCAAGTAGAGTCGCCACCCACAATGATATTCTCCATTTTCACACATCACTCTCTCAGTCCTAAGAATCATTGGATGTGATTTCAGCTTTTCCCTTAAATTTATCACCATTCTCAAAGGCTTTCAGACAGTGGTGTCAGAGCTGCTCCGCAGAGGGGATTGGCCCAGAGTTAGCAGTGAGGTTATTGCAGCCAACCTCCGTCATAATTAAGTAAAGGACCTTTTTCCCCACCTTGAGGTGTATTTGGTATATAGGGCTAGATCTATATTTTATAGACCAAACGGCACTTGGTGGGTGATGTGATCAGCATCCTGCCAGACGCCTTCACTATCCCAGGACTGTACATGGTAGCCACTTAGAGTTGGATCGATCTGAGAGCCTAGGTCATTTTGGAAAAAAGTCTGGCTTCTGTTGGGACCTGAACCTACGACCTTCCGATCTGCAGGCAAGCTTAGAGATACTAAACCACTGCGGCTCCGTAACCTCCATCATAGAGATGGCAATTTTTTTAAGAATTTTTTTTTTAAAGACTTTCATAGCTGGGCATTCTTATTCTTGTACGTTAGATTAAAAAAAATCTAGATCCCTTGTGGCCACTACCATTGTGTACTTAGCCTGTAAAAGTTGCCTCCTGGCAGTTTGTCTAATAGATGATTGACCTCTTAGACATTGACTGTGCCATTCCTGTGATGGAGAGGTGTCAATGTCTACGATGAGAGATAGCAACTGTGCAGAGTGTGTTAGTGTTTCCCCGCTAGATACCCATATCAGCTGTTTCACAGTGATGACTCTTTTTGTGTATCCATGCATGACACTATAGTAGTTAGACTGTTGATGCACAGTGTTGTCAAAGTCAAAGCTGGGCAGGAATATTATTTGATTGCTTTTGTGTGAACAGTTTTGTGGTCACCCAGTAGATTAAACTCCTGGTATGTTCCTAGAGTCTGTAGCGGCACCTTCGCCAGCACTCCCACCCACCATATTGATGCTGTCCGCTGCGCTGTCCTCTTGTCTTTTTATTGAAAAATTATTTGCAGCTTTTTTTTTTTTTTGCTTTTGTAGCTACGGTAGACATGCAAGTTTGCTTGAGTTTATTTCTTCCTGGGCAGTTGCTGCAGAAACTATTTAGTTGTTTGTCTAGTGAATGTATAATTGTCATGTCTCTGGGCAACCATGTCATATTGTGGAATGTTGTTCACTAGACGCCTCCAGGAAGTTAACCAGCATATTGTAGTGACTTGTGTTGTTTGGACTAGCTCAGTATATCATTTCTGTGAATGTTTGATGTTTCTCTTTGCACCCGTCAGTCCAGCAACAGCTCTTTACACTGAAATACAACCACATACACTACTAAAGCGTTATACACACAACCGAGACAGGTGCAACAGTGACAGTGTTCATTCCCATTTAGTAACTATATCCTTTCTATATGCAGCATTTCTTCAGCGACAATAAATCAGTTAAATGATTGACCAAGTTTGTTTTCAACATAATATACTTATATGCTTAGTTTAAAATTAAAATAAGGGTAGAGAAACAAGAATAGTAAGAGGAAAAGAAGATGATAAAGTGATGAACAAAGTTCCTAGTATCTCAAGTTTAACATCAACAAGGAAACAAGACAGTTAATAAAAACAGTTTGTAACTGCACTTGCCCCAATACACCAGTAATGTGACTGCCAGTGGATGCAGACAGTGGGCTTGTGTCTCAATGTTGTTGTCTAGAGAAACAGGCCACACTAATGCTGATGGTTGTGCTGACATGACTGGTTGTTTCCAATGTTAGATACACACTGCTGCATGTCTAACATTGAAACCCAGTCATGCAGCAGACAATGACTTGTCAAAATCTCATCAGACAAAAGTCCCAAGTCTGGGTAACAGTTGATGGACACAGCCTTGATTGTTGTCAGCACAACCCTGACACTGCTGAGGTTTGAACCCTCAACACTGTCTTGATGAGCAAGCACATTAACCACCCTGCTACTGTGTCTCTACTTCAATAGACATCACAGCAAATATCCCCACAGAACTGACAACACTCAGAAATATTGTAGACATCCAGGTAGCTTAGACTTGTGGCTCACTCTTATTTTGTTAGGTCTCCCATGGGTCCTATCATTTCAAATAGTCATATCAAAGAATTTGTTGCCATTTAGAAATATTAGAAACGATTGACTTCTAAGACTCTGTTTTTTTTGTTTTTTTTATGAAATCATGGACCGCTTACATTTGTCCATGAGTGGTTTAAATAGTATGACCCACATATATATTTTCTTAAAATCATTTCTTTTACATATGAATAAGTTGAAATGTGTATGCATTGTACTGACTCAAATATACGTCACTAAATTTATGTTAATTGTTTTTACAGCCAAGGAAATTTATTTATTAAATGGATTTAGTAAATAGATGATAATTGTTCTCACAACCAAAAAAATGTTGACAGTAAATTGATAATTGTTTTTACAATCAGGGACATGAATTCAGTAAATTAATGATAATTTTTCTTATAACTAAGGACATGAATTTCAGTAAATTGATATTTTATCTTACAAGTGTGAACTTGTATACAGTAAATAAATAATTGTTTTTACAATCAAGGACATTAATAAAATAATAGATAATTGTTTTTACAATCCATGATATGTAGAGTAAATTTATAATTGTTCTTACAATCAAGGACATGTATAGAGTAAATAGATCATTGTTCTTACAACTTAAGACATTTTCACAGTAAATAGATAATTGTTCTTACAAGCAAGGACATGTGTGCAATAAATCAATAATTGTTCTTACAATCAAGAACATTTAATCCGTATATTGGTGATAATATTTTTTTTTACAGCTAAGGACATGTGTACAGTAAATAGATCATTGTTCATACAATCAAGGACATGCATGCGGTAATGGATAATTGTTTTTACAATCAAGTTGTGTATAGAGCAAATAGATAATTATTTTTATAATTAAAGAACTTTCACAGTAAATGATCACTGTTTTTACAGTCAAGGACATGTATTCAATAAATTGATGATAATTATTCTTACAACCAAACAAATGTATACAGTAAATAGATAAATGTTCTTACAAACAAAGAAAAGTATACAGAAAATAGATAATTGCTCTCACAACCAAACAAATGTATACAGTAAATAGATAAATGTACTTAGAAACAAAGAATTGTATACAGAAAATAGATAATTGCTCTCACAACCAAACAAATGTATACAGTAAATAGATAAATGTACTTAGAAACAAAGAATTGTATACAGTAAATAGATAATTTTGAACTAAGCAGAGGCAAACAATAGATTGCACAGTTTATTGCCTGCCATATTTCGCTGTATCCCTTTAGGTGCATACTACAGTAACAGTTACATAAATGAAGCAAATAAGTGAATCCTTTATAACTGAAGTTCACATTCAACAACAATCTGTTGTCAGTTATAAAGGATTCACTTATTTGCTTTATTTAAGTAATTGTTACTGTATTATGCACCTGATGAGATACAGCGAAATATGCCAGGCAATAAATTGTGCAATCTATTGTTTGTCTCTTCTTCGTTCAAATTCACAGTGGGAAAATACTGTTTTAAAAAATAGAAGATTGTTCTTACAACCAAAGACATGTATACTTCAGGTTAGAAAGTGGAGTCATATTTGAATATTATTCTGAAATTTTGTATGTCAAGTGTGCTTCTTAAGTGTTGCCTAGACGTGCTTCTCCAAGCCTTGCCTAGATTGTGTTTCTTAAGTCCAGCCTAGATTGTGTTTTTCAAGTCCTGCCTAGATTGTGTTTCTCAAGTCCTGCCTAGATTGTGTTTCTCAAGTCCTGCCTAGATTGTGTTTCTGAAGTCCTGCCTAGATTGTGTTTCTTAAGTCCTGCCTAGATTGTGTTTCTCAAGACCTGCCTAGATTGTGTTTCTCAAGTCCTGCCTAGTCCTGCCTAGATTGTGTTTCTCAAGTCCTGCCTAGATTGTGTTTCTTAAGTCCTGCCTAGATTATGTTTCTCAAGTCCTGCCTAGATTGTGTTTCTGAAGACCTGCCTAGATCATGTTTC